ATATATATATATATATATATATATCATGTCAGCTTAAAGCTGTCAGCTGTCATGAAGAAGGCTAGTTACAACATTGTCCCCAGCACCTACCGCACTGAAGTTTCATGGCTGATATTGCTGCTTCCCCCTTTGGGCCGTCGTTTTGTCGAAAGTGCTCGAGTGGTTGCTCCATAAATGAACCTAAAGGATGGCAACATAGTTAAACCCAAGAGATGCCCTTGGATGACTCATGCGTATTCAGATCAGGGAGCACTCGTGCTCATACTAACAGACCCAGGTAGGAATGGTCTGATCCCACACAAAACATTCTGAGGCAGCAAGTGAGTCTAGCCCAAGAGCGCCTTTCTGCAGATAATCCAGTTTCACCGAATGTTAGTGGGTTCTGGGCCTAGAGTAGAACGTACAGTCCATTTCCGGTGAGTTCGGACTTCGGTATTGCCCATTCGCCTTGAACTTCGTCCCAAGAGGCGAGTGCCCGAATCCTCTGAAAATTTTCACCAACACGGTCGAACGAACGTCTACATGCAGCAAAAACGCTTTTTTGTGCAGCGAAAGTTGTCGCCTGCAGATGTAGTGCTGACCGTGGCTTCTTCAGGAGGAACGAAACGATCTATTATGGCCTGTTGTAAGCGCATTTCGAGCTCCATTGACCGTATGTCATGCAAGAGAGACTCCCGCTCTGCCTGAAATTCCTTTTGCAAGTCTTCGATGTCATCGACAACTTCGGTGTAGCGTCTGCAGAGTTGTTGCACTTTGCTGGACAAGTGACTCAGTTCCTTGTCTTTGGAGGTTACAAGGCTTTCAAGCAGCAGCCGCGCTTCCCGGCCTTGATCCCGTTCCCTCCGGAGTTGCTCCTCTGCATCACAGTGCCACCGAAAACGTCGTGTCTAAGAGCGGGGACGTTTACCAACCCAGTATTCTTTTTTTATTCAAATGTTTCGACGAATACCTTAAACAATCTACCTCACCCATCTTCTTCTGCTCTTCTAAGCGCAACTGGGTCCTCTTCAACTCCCGCTGCTGCTGCTTGGCCTTTGATATCTCCGCGTTTCCCCGCAAGAGTTGCGCCTCCATGTTTTTCAAGCGGGCTGCTAGCTCGGCTTTGTGCTGTAAATCCACCACCATTCAGCATGCGCACTTCGACTCCATTTGACTTTTAACGGTTTCTCTGCAGAAACAACCAGCGATTCAAATGCGGCATTCCTCCTACCTGTTCGTACATTGCCATCTCAGCCTCTTTGGCTCTCAAGTCTTCTTCTGCCTTTCTCCGTGCCAGCTCGATAGCCTGATTGACAACATGGAGTTTGTTCAACGGATGAAGGAAATCGACTTTGAGTATATGCAATTGCAGATGCAGGTTCACTCCAAACCAACTAAATTCACTTGCTATAACTGGTTTGCAGTGCGGCAGCAATTGAGAAATTACGTTTTTCTCCGTCTCAAAAGTAGCTCGAAGATGACGCTGCTGCTCCAAATTTAATTCTTCCAGTTTGCGCCTCTCCTCTTCCGAGACATCTACTATTTTGATTTTCTCTATGATTTTTTCCACTATTGTGGGTTTTTCGCGAATAACTTCCTTCTCGACAATGACAGGCTTCTCAACAATAACTTCCTTCAGCTGCTCAACGGGGTTATTAAGCGCCTGGAGCCTTGCTTCTGTAGAAAGATTCGGCTACCGCACAACGTTTATATTTTCGCCTTTGTCTCATCCGCCGAACCTGCCCTAGTTGCAATCCCTAAGTACACCCGGTTACGGGGGTAAAGGCGTCGCCCCTCCCATAATAAGCAGGGTAGCGCGATGGCGATTTTCGAACGACGCACCTTCCGCTGCTTGTAACTGCCGCTTCAGGTGAGCGATTTCTTCCTGAAACGCGAGAATCACTGCCTGCTTGGGATCTTCGTTAACATGTGGAGCATTCTTAATGTGCTTTGTTCTTTGAGCATAGCGGAGTGTGCTCAGAGTCTCGTCGTAGTGAACGCACGCAGGCCCGACGTTGGCCACCATGGCAGTCCTGGTGTTCCCCCCCAGCGAGGCCTGAGACATTACAAGGCAAGACCAAACCCCTTGGGGCATAGTGTAAAGGTAAAGGGACGCATATAACGTTCGCTTAAACCCAAAGAGCACAAATGGGGAGCGAGTTTTGCAGTACCTGCAAGATTCGAGTTAGTTTCGAGTCTCGGTACGGAACGAAGGGAGACTGTTCCGCCAGGGCGGAAATAACATTACCAAGAGCGCTCAGGGACAGGTTGATCTTCATAGCTTCTCTAAACCGTTCGCCTACGGAGCCAGCTTTGCTTTGCCTGCATTAAAGGCATGAAACTTTCTCCACATCTGCCTTCGCATGCATAGCCTTGTTGAGCACACTGCTTATTTCAACGTTACCAAGAATATGAAAGTGCACAACGGGATAGGGCAGCCGGGAGGTGGGTTCCACATGCAGGGAACAGTTCCTTCCTCTTCTGGCCCATTTTTCCTGTCTCGAGCAGTTAAGACATCGCATGATTGAAATTACGTCTAGCAGCGTTTGTGCTGCTTACCTTTCTGAGCCAGCAAGATCCACAAGATTCAACTTGCCCATCCGCACGCGTCCTTCTTTGTCTGCGCTCTCAACTGTTAGCGTGAAGATGGAGTGGGACCTGTTGGCAATCCGTAAATGTGTCGGCAGGCAGATATCATCCGCCAATTGTGCAGAACAGGTGTAAAGTTCCTCCCTACAGGCGACAATGTCAGAGAGATTTCTGATAACTCGATAGATTTGCTAAAATGCACACAGGCTGCTAAACGGCGTTTCCAGCTTGTGACGTCTCACCTGCTCGAGACAGCGTTCATCAATGTGGCGCCCACCTTCCGGTTGCGCTGTCCCGTTGCCTAAACATTTAGGGAAAGGCACGCAGGCAAACTGTCTATTCCTAGATGGACCAACAGCGAGCGTGGACACTGAGGCAAACAGACAGCGGCTAGTCAACGGTGCGATGAACTTTGGCAAACGTCCTGCCTCTCACCCTCCTCTTCTACGCTGCCTAAAGGGTGTTTCAGTTTGCGAAAAAGCATTGATGTGTTCGTTAACACCGATGCTTACGGTGCGTATACAGCTTGAAGTGGTGCGTTTGCTGCTCTTACCAGGAGTTTCGCCAGTTCTTCAGCTGACTTCACGGCAAAAGCGCTCAGGCCTTCTGCGAAAACTCCTGTTTCGGGATTGTCGCGAAGATTAAGCTTTGCAGTGTGAGTCTTAGACAGCAAGTCCCGAGCCTGAGGTTGAATGCGTCTGCCGTTTTTGAGGCATGTTGCATATGCTTTGTGTCACGAATGCCTACTAGCTGTGGTCCTATATTGCGCAAGTAGTCATGCTTAGGCAAATACGGCAGCTCACCTCTTCATTGTATAGTTCAAGAAAGGAAGCTCGCACTAAGAAGGTCTGCAAAAAAGTCAGGAGATCCTAGGAGTGCATATGCAATATGAACTATTCGTCGGTGGACCGGTTACTGGAGAGAAGACTACAGGGGAAACTGAGATGGAGACTCTGAAGGGTGAAAGCTGTAGAACGGCACTTTCCTTGTTAGATGCGTAGTCAATGGTGCTGAAGATGTGCTCAAAGGCGCGAGGAATTATGCCTTGCAAGCAGCCTTCCCCTCCGATCATCGTGTACGTCTTTCCTGTGCCAGTTTGCCCGTAGGCAAATACCGTACCTGAAACGCTGGCGCCCACAAGGATCGTTTCTGTTCGTCTTCTAAGTAGACACTTCACAGTAAGGTGGGAGTTGAGGAGCCATTCTGGCGTTGGCCGTAAAATCCACCGCTAGGCTAAGCGTGCTTCCTAACACAGCTGAAGCACAAGCTATATCCAACAGCCCGAATTCCGTGAGAGGTTTTGTGCAGTATGCACCATTGTAGCCCTCAGTGACGCTTTCCACAATGCCGTACGCAGCATCTTCATAAACGCCCTCCTGAGACACGCTGTTGGAAGACATCCAGCCCAGCGGCTTCTTGCAAGCTCTAGGTGTAAAGTGGTCATTTGGAGCTGCATACCTCGTGTAGTTCTGCACCTCTCTCTGCCATTTCATTGCTGCACAGATAGGAATTTTTTTGTGCTAGCACAACTCACGACTCGTCGTAAACGGCGTCAAAACTGAAATGCTTTGTTGGACCGTTAGGCTTCTGGAGGCAAACAGAAGCGTTTTTGCTGTTCACCGTCAGCACGCGTTTGCGGCCTTCGCTAATTTCCGCCTCCGAAAGGGGCCGACAGCTGAAGAAAAAGCACTGACTCTGTCTAGCTACTGCTACGACAAAGGAACGACCGGTGCAGCAGAGGACTACCGTTGCTGCAATTTGCCTTCCGAATACAGCATCCGTCATCTCCCTTGTCGCAGGTGGCTAGTCGTTTCTACTTTGTGCTGTTGTCTATTTTCAGAACTTCCTCTGTGAACACGTGCGGCAAGCGCCTGGCAGCTACCGGCAGCATGACACAACGGAAATACACTGGAAATATACTGTGCTGGCGAAGTAATTCAGCCAGTCGCTTTAGGCGAACTTTCAAGAGCATGTGCCGATGTTTTCCGAAAGCGGAATAGAGAAAGCTAAGTCAACCATAACGAAACTCCGCTAGCACTAACCGTGATAGCAGGCCACTACCATTGCCGCCATGTGTTTCAGAACAGGCGCTTGCGCAGCTCAGATACACTGGCGCAAGGAGCAATGCACAGATGTAACGTTTTACTCATGTTGTTTCTCGTGTTGTGTAGAGGCGAAGTGTTCGTTCGCCCCTCACCGTATGACAACTCGAACCCGTTCAGCTTTGGGGGCGTCGGGCACCTCCTGTTGCTGAGGTGCATCTGGTGCTTCCATTTTCAACAAAACAAAAGGAAGAGTGCGTAAAGGCTGCGGCTTTTGCACGCAACGTGAGAAATAGCAAACGTCAGTCTGCTGTCGTTAAGTATGCCGTGAGTCGAGTTCAGAAACAGACACATTCAGGCGAAATCCAAGATTTGGCAATTCAGACCAGCTCCTGTAACATCAAATGCAACGAGCATATAAAATAAAAGAGGCCAATTCCTTAAGTAAAGTTTTTTTTTCGCGATTTTGTTCACTCCATGCATACTCTTAGGATGAACAGGACCACCGGTGGGGGCCAGCCCCTGCGGGGACGATGTAGTGAATGGTCTCTGTGTTCGTTCAAACTGCTAGCATGCATGAGCATATTTTGTTTTCTTCCATTTTCTTTCGATTGTTAAAACTGGCTATCTTCTCATTTATCTGAATTTACAGTGGCTCGGACTGAAGGCAGCGCTTAACAGGGGGCCATAGCGCCCGTGGGAGGCCCCCCTCTGCGTAAGTATTTACATTGTCCTTCCACGATGCAGCATGTAGATGCTCATTCAGCAATTGCAGCTCCTACAGCCCACCAAGGGACTGCCGCTTCAAACACCTCAGCCGGAGCTGCGGCGGCAGCAACATCAGTAGTAGCTGATGCTGTTGGTTCTGACGCATTCTCCAACGAACACCAACATCACAGCTCGAAGAAAGAAGGACCTGACGCTGACGCAACAACGGCAGAACAGGAGCCTACGGGTCGTCCCGTGGAAGAAGGGGTCCCTTTACCAACCCCACCAGCAGTAGCAGACGAGAACGCAACAGCACATTCAGCACCAGCAGTTAGAAGCGATGATCAAGAACTTCAGATCGAGGGAGGTGCTACAATTACGACGGAGGTGATGAGCGAAGCTGCAGCGTCTCCCAATGTAGAAGAAATAGTGGAAGATTCACCGAGTATCTCAAAAGAGGGGGAGCATCTCCCTTCGGAGTCAAACAAGACCATCCCTAGACGCATGGGAAGGCAGATGTGGCGGCCGCGCGGTCAGCGGCTCAGCTTTGGCCGTCTGTGTAAGGGCAGCTCTGCACCTGGGGGCTGTGTAGGCGACAGCACTGCAGCAAAGAAGCGGTGGGAGCAGGTGCAGCAGCAAAAGGCGAAGCAGAGGGAAGCACGTGATAGCGAGAAACAAATACGAGCAGTCAAGGAGAAGGTACGGGTGCAACGCCGCAAGCAACGAGAAGCCAAACGACAACGCAAGAAAGAGAATGAAATGAAGAGTGCCAAAGTGCAAGTAATTAAAGACACGTCGAAGATTAGAAAGTGGAACAAACGAGCCAGAAGACAGCTGGTTAAAATGTCACCCGAGATGATTCGGCAGCTCTATGGGGTACAAATATAACAGATGAGGAAATTTGCATCTTCTTTTCTTCTGCAAAATTGCTTCAGGACTTTTCTCAACTTTTTCAACTTCATTTTCAAGCGCTGCTGGTGTCTTTTTTCCGCACCATTGCTAATTTTAGGGGGAGGTAGGCTTCCTCAGAAGCCTACCTCCCTGCACAAGGCTTTTGCGGCTCGTAGCGGATAACTACACAGACGGAATTGTATAGGCACGCAGTCTTTATCTTTTTTGCAAGCTGCCTGGTCTGGTCCTACCACATTGCTAGCTAGGTTATTGACCTTAGTTAGTGCCAAAGTTAGTAGAGAGTCTGATGTACCGCAATAACACGTAGCATCATCCAGAAGCTCATCTGGTACAGCAGCTGGCCGCTGCTCGTTGGCGGGATGCTGATGCTGCCATTGCCCTTCTTTGGGATCGCCTAGTGCTTGAATAGACGCAGCCAAGGGGCCCGAGAGATAGAGTTTATAGATATAAAGCTTATTGAGCTTAATGTTCGAAGGTTAACGTAAGTCAAATGCTTGTCCTGCTTTCCGCCACTGGGGATAGGATGTCTGCCACTGATAGCTCGGTGATGCACCTTGCCTACTGCTGCATCTATATTGTATCTACTTATTCCATAAACATATATTGTGTATATATCATATATTTTGATATTTGATGCTTTGTAGGGCGATACGGGAAGACGTATCGCTTGGTGCCACTGGTTCCTTTCCTTCCTCGACTTTCAGCGCCGAACAGTCCGGATACGAATTGTGTAGAGCTGTGGCTGCCTCTGTATCCCCCCTTTTTCACTGCATTTGCGTCTGTATAGGTGCGTTTATGTTCTTGTTTTCTCTTCGCCTCACTCGACCTGTTTATCTGTCCAACCGTGTGCCCATCTTAGCATTTAGAACCTTCGCCCATCCTCCCTGCCAGGGCACCTCAGGTGTGAGTGGTTGGAAGAAGGGGGAGATAGGTGCCCGTGCTCCCGTGCTGCTTAGTTGCAGCACCGGGGCTGCTTGCATGTGGCTCTCTTGCTTAGTAGAGAACAAAGCACATGGTCCGTCCACTCAGGGGCCCTCCGAAGTTTCTTCACAGGAACTCAGGAGCAACGTCAAGCAGCATTTACAGTAAAATGTACAGGCAGTTCCATGCATGCAAGAAAGCCCCTGGATGGACGCCGTAAAATGGAGGAGCTGTCGCTTCTGCAACAGGCCAGAAGATTTCCGCTTGCTCGTAGAATGATTTAAGTAATTTACAAACCTGTGAGAACTGATTTTTTTGACTCAATTCATATGCAACGGGCAAAGTGCTCTACGCTTTAGTGTTGGCTGCACATTAGAGGCTCGCAGGCGGAAAACTTTCGAAATATTGGCAATATATGGCACTTAGGGTTGACGGCTCAATGTTGTAGTCTGGCAATTGTTTCTAAGCTGCGTGGCTGCGAGTGGTCTGCTGGAAGCAGCTGGTTTCGTCCACGAATTTTCTCGAGGCGGTTCGTCGGCTAACATCTGCGCTGCCGTTTTCTTTGCGCAGCGTAACTAGCAGGCGAGTGGCCACGAATTCCACAGCATCTGAAACGTTCGGAAACCCCACAGCGGAAACTAGGTGGCAGATAAAGCTGAGCAGTAGGACAACTTCTGGGTTGACACAGGTGTGGGTGTTGCTACCGTCGTTGCTGTTGCTGTTGTTGCGGCAGCTGTGCTACGACAAAAGTAATGGCTACACCTCAATTGTCGGAAAAGAAGGCGGCTCAAGGCCTCCTGCGGACACTGCCTTGCTGACTTGCTCCAGTCGCTCTTACTGCCTAGTTAAGTGGTTGTGCCTTTCCAATGCAGTTAGGAGGGAAAAATGCGAACCTTCATCCGAATTCTCGACGGCCATGTTGACGGTCCTGTTGGCTTTCTGCTTTCTTTTTTCGCCTTTGTTCAGCTGCTCTTCAATGTCTTTGAAGTCCATAATAAAAGAGCGAATGGCAGCCAGGAGCTCCACCGCGTAGCGGCACCGCCGCTGCATTTGGGAGCACTCAGTCGGCTCGTGTTCTTCTTTTCTTTTCGGTGTCTTCACCCCATCGGTGCTGGGCTTCTCTTGCTGCGCCTCCCCGTCTGTTTCAGCAGCTGATTCCCTCCTGCAAAGTCCTCAATCGCTCGCGTATTTTGCATTATTAGTCAACGCCTTTAATGCGTACTAATCGCTGTTAGGCCAGGAGCCTCGAGCTAAAATGTGGCGTTCCCGGGCGCGGGATGGCACCTAGCTACAATTTACTGAGGGGCCGATAGTCGCGCAGAGAACTGTAATAGGTTTCAACACTGTTTTTGTGCGAATGGTTTGGACTGCTTACCGTTGCCTCTCCCAGGTTGCGCGACCGTGTTGTATGTTGGGCCTGGCGGTAATACACATGGCATACATGTTTTCAACTGCAAGGAGAACCTTTCCCAGGTGTAACGACTTGCTGAAAGAGTCCTTGTCTGCCTCGTCTGCTTTGGCTGTCAGAGCAGCCGACTCCTTTTCTAGTGCCTCGAGCTCGCGCTGGTACTCAGCTACTTTGTTGTTCGCCTCCTGAGACAGTGCCCTCGCACCTTTAACAATACAGTGGGTGGAAAGACAGGGCGAAAGCCATCGTGCTGGAGTGCTGCGTGAAAAATACGAAGAATGAAAAAGGATAGACAGCCGGCAAGCAGTCACATTTCAGTTCTTTACGTCTGCGAACGTTCGTCTGCTGATCACGCAGTCGGACCACAGAAAACACAATGAACATGAGAATTCTGTTCACTGAGTACATCAACGTACAAGAATCTTCGCCGCCTGGCTTCGTTTGTATTCTTGAAGCTGCTGGCGAAGAATATCAATCTGCTCGGTTGTCTTTTCTTCATTCTGCCGGAGGCTGGAGTGAACGGACGCTAGGACTTCAAAACGTTCAATTATGTCACGCACGCTCGAGAAATCTGGGCTGGTTTCCGATGCGGCCTTCAGATAATCTGCAAACTTCTGTACTGCCAAACACACAAACAAAGCCAATCCAATCCTCAACCCTCTGGGCACAACAACGGCAGCAAAGGAGCTTCAGTACACCAACGTAGAGAGTACAAAGCGCTCTAACAGCATGCACACGATAATGAAATAGTCGTGCTGCGAATACAAGCGGCAGCGTATATGTGGTGCTGCATATCAAACAAGAGAAGCACCGGCTCGGTCTTTGGGTTTTTCTCTGAATTTCGGTATGGCTGCAGTTGCCGTAAGTACGGACGGAAACATCAGCGCATCTCGGGAATTGATGGCTGTCGTTTTTCTTAATTACAAACTTGTAGACGGTTTCAGACAGTACAAAAAACCAATGAATGGTTATGGGAGCAGGGGATTTGATTATCCGACACGAAGCAACCGATTTTGCTATCCGTGTGATGTGCAATTTAAGAAAGAGGCAGCTACAAGAGGCAGAGGCTTCCTGAATAGGCTACCGCAAGTCTTATTCCTGGAATTTCGATAAGCGGTGTTTTATATGCACCGATATTTTGTCGTTGGTTTGCTGCCCAGCTTTACGGGAAGCACTACGAGGCCCTCTTCATTTCACTGCAACTGGAAGTGCATTCATTCTCTCCCTCGCAGGTTCCCCTCTATTTGTTTATCAACACTTTATTCTACGTTGGTCCTAGCAGGAAGAAAGCGGTAAGGTTTAAAAACAGACACTGCTTACGGCCCTGTACTTGTGACTCGAATCCTTTGCAAGTGACTTCATCTACTGCCAGTTGCCTTTGCAGCACCGCGATTTCTTTATCTCGTGCATGACTCGTTTCCCTTTCAGCGGAGGCCCTTCTATTAGCACGTGTTGTTTTCTCTTCGTTAGTATACACAAATTTCTGAAATCTGTGGAGCTGAGACTTGAGCTGAGCCTGTCGCTTTTGGAGTTCAGCATCCTGCTGCCTCGCCTTTTCCACCACCTGAGCCAGCCGATGCAGCACCCTAAAGAAACAGTTCGCTCCAAATGCCCTAGGGTTGCCTTCCTGTAGCATTTTCTGCTACAATACGAACAAAAATGGAATGAGCGAAGCAGACACTGCGACCCTAAACAGCCACCCTACCTGCGCGTACGAGACTTTCTTGAAATCCAGCTCCGTCGTGACTTCATGTAGCTGGCGCTGTAAATCCTGAGGAAAGGGGGAGCACATGACGACAGGAAACAGCAAACACTTGAAAATGGTTTCCCCATATGAATAGTAGCAGCAGGCTTCTTTCGTGAGCGTAAATGAAAGGGGGCGGTCATTATGGGGAGGTAGATGAAATTTAACGGTGTATCTACAAATGGAAGGCAGAAAAATTCGGAGCATTCTCGCTTTTTCGTGAGTATGTGTGAAAAAGCACGGAAGGGTCTCGCAAGCAAACAAGCACTCAATCCGACATAAAACGAGGCACAGCCAATCAGCGCAGTCAAATGCATCTCCTGCGACTCATTTGACTATATATATTATATTTATATATACTGCATACAAAGCACAAGCGATACATATATTGCAATGTAAAACTGTATATATATATATATATATA